CCAATCCCGCCCGAGAGGGGAATGTGTGGCTGGAGTCTCCACCGCGCCCTGCTCCCGCAGGACTGCTCGGGCCCAGAAAGTCCGCTGGAGTCAAACTGTGGTGGAGTGTCAGTTTCTCTCACTCACCTCGCCACAAGTCAGAACATGCCTCTCTGCCCGTCCTGTTTTCGACTCCGTTCGCAGACTCCCGTTCTCAGAGTTTCCGCGCGTCTCTCTCCTTGCCGAGCCAATGTAGAGGCAGCCAGCCACCGCGCGGCGGGAAACCCAAATCGCGGCTTCCAATGGCACAGGGTCCAGCCTCAGCAGCGAGACTTTTCTGTTCCTGTTTTAGCACCAGGACTGCATTCCAAGTTGGTTTCTCTCAGCCGAGTTCGTTCCTGAGTCAGCAGAGCATAACTCCACCTGCTTATGTCTCTTTAGTCCGCACCATATCTGGCTTCTGAGCCTAGTTTTTCAGAGAGCCTCCGGTAGTTGCTGTTATGTGTCCGCCATGTTCTCCCGGAAGTTCGGCAATTCTTTTTAAGGTAGCAAGAGGCTTTATGGTAACCACTGTTGATTACCTTGTATTCTGTTTTTACATCAGGTACTATGTCCATCCTTTGTTTTGACTGACTGCTTTGTTTTGTCATATTTGGTTTTATTCTCTTCCAAAAAAAAAAAGTAATAAGAACTATGGGAATAATAAAACCCAAAATGTGTAAATGTTGTTGCAAAAAAGAGAGGGAAAAAAAAGTGCTCTAAAGGATACAACTGCAAGTGTGTTTAGGTGTGTTAGGATAGATGACCATATTACTATTTTTGTTGGATCTTTGAACACAACTGTTTGCAGTCTCACTGTTTGAATATCCACTTTGTATGCTTTAATCCTGTAACTTGAACAACTATTTCTAAGATGACAATGTGTAATCTATTAACTAGCGATTTCTTACTGTTTTTTTTTTAATTCTGTATTACTTGTACCCTTATGTTTTGTTTTTTTTCTCCCCTTTAAATAAAAATAAAATAGAGAAGTTCTTTATACATTCTAAATATAAATCTTTTGCCATTATCACACATGTACATTTTGCAAATGTTTGGTTTTTTCCTGGTACCAGTGCCTATTAAATATATTTGATAAGGCCCAAATTTTAAAATTTTTCTATTCGATTTTCAACTCTACATGTTGTTTACCTCTATCATGCCTTGTTGTGATGCTTAAAACTCTAATGCAATATTGATTAGGAGTGGTGAGAGCAAACACTCTTGCCTTGTACATGATCACAGAGGAAAATATTTAAGATTTTCATCATTATACACCCTGTTAGTTTACTTTATTCACAGGTGCTGGAGAAAGTAGGCAGAGAAAGTCCCTTTCTGTTTTAGAGCTTTATTAGATATGGGAAATGAATTTTGCCAAATACTTTTTCTTCATCTGAGATAATTATATGATTTTTCTTCTTTGTTAATATAATGAATCATATTTGACTTGGTTAACTTGTAAATGCTAACCAATCTTTCATTACTAGTAAAAACTCTACTTGGTCATTATTATATTTTTAAATTCAGTTTCACAAGATATTCTTCAACATTCTTTTATGCCCATATTCCTAAGGAAAATTTGTAGTCCTCTTATAGTGTATTTTTCTGATTTTGGTTCCAGCCTTATACTGGAAATGATAGAATAAGATGATGTAGAGAGGCCACACTGACCCCATTTTGTTCCGGACACATCTGGTAGACAATGTTATGGGAAAAAGTGCAGACCTTGAAACACTGCCCCCACCCCAAGGTAAAAACAAGAGGTCCTGTAAGGACAAGAAGCAAACAAGTTATACAATCTGAGCATGCGCATTTTGAGTTTCTCTGTTCTTTATCTCAATAAAAGCTACTTGCTTAGCAGGCAGTCATTTTGCTGACCCTTTGTGTGTGAGACCCTTTATTTCCCTTTGCTTGCAGAATCCCAACAAGATAAGAGCTCTTCTTTAATATCCTGGAAAATTCTATGTAGAACTGATACGATAGTTTACTAGATTCTTCAGTGAAGCTGTCTAGGCCTGCAGTTTTCGTTGGGTCAAAATTTTTAACCGTAAATTCAATTTCTTTGTTTACAGAGATCTTTCAGGGTATTTCTTCTTTAGTGAGTTTCAATAGTTTGTACTTTCAAGGAATATCCCTCTTTCGTCTAAGTTGTTGAACTGACTGATATAAAATTATTCATGAAATATTTTTCATGATTTTATGATCCATACAAATGTTTGCTCTTTTACTCCAGATATTGATAAATCATGTCTTCTGTTCTCAATGTGTCGTGATAAAAATTTACAAGGTTTATTGACCTTGATGAATAAATGTACCATCTCATCAATGATCTCTATTGTTTGTTCTTCTGTTTTTATTTCAAGATTTTGGCTTTTTTCTGTATAGTACACAGTAAAATTTAGGTAATTGATTTCTGATATTTTGTCTCATATAATGAGTTGTTTGGGCTGGAACATAGCTAAGCTGCACTGTGTCTGGCAACTGCCACATCATGAGCTCCATCCCTGGTACAAAAAAAAGAAATGAGTTCTTACAACTTTCTTATAAAAATTTTCCCACTTTAGCTGTATCCTCAAAATTCTACTGTTTTAACTTTATTCTGTTCATATTACTTCCTAATTTCATTTTTAATTTCTTCTTTAACCTACCGGTTGCTCAAAACTATGACATTTAATTACCAAATATTTGGGAAATTTCCAGGTATCTTTACGTTATTGATTTCCAATTAATTCCACTGCAGTAAAAAAAGATACTGGGCACTGTGAATTTTTTAATTAATTGAGGATTGTTACATAAATCATGGTCAACCTTCATATTCCATGTGCCTATGCATAAAACTCTTACTCTCCAGCTGCTGGGTAGAATGTGGACTAAGTTAAACTGGAGGACACTGTTGCTCAAGTGTCCTGAAGTCTTACTGATCTGATGTCCACTTTTCCTATCCAGTATGCTAGAGATGTGTAAGAATTTCTAACTATAATTGCAGATTCCTGTATTTCTCTGACTCTCTTAAGCATTTATTTGGAAACTTCTTGTTTTCTGTTTTCTATGTCCTTTAATGATATGATCTTTGTTATAAAGTTAACTGTGTTCATCCTTGATAATATTCTTTGGTTTGAAATCTCTTGTTTCTTCATTTTGTCCTTTTCTTTGTGAATCAATTTTAGTAATGTATTATTTTTTAAAAATTTTTTATTTTACTTAAGTAGTCAGTTTTATGGACAAAGTCATAAATAATATCTTTATGTTCTTTTAAAATTATCTTCAGGATTTATAAGAAGAACCCTTTTACATATTGGTTTTGCTAATGCATCTTAGGTTTCTTGATTATTTTTAATAGAAACTTATCAAGTTAATAATAAATCCAAAACTAATTTTGTGATTTTTTAAATTCTCTGTATTGCATTTTTATTGTGTTTATTTGTTTCTTTTCTCCACATTTTTACTCTTATTTTTCTAATACACTTCAAATCTGTAACTTAATTTACTAGCTTCCACAGTTTTTGCTATACAAAATTCTCATTAAGTTCAAAATATTTTCTAATTCTCATTATGTATGAAACATTATTTTAGCAATCTGAAGCACATGGTAAATAGGCTTTCTTCCAGAGAAAAATCCGTTGCCTTCTGTAGGAACCCAGAGGCCCCATCATCTGAGACCAACTTCAAACAAGTTCTAGCTCACCTACTGTGTCTCTTCAAACACTGCTGTTCTTCCACACCCCCTTCATCTTCAGGAGGAGCCTCAGGGGCCCCCCATGTGGCCTAAGCTTTGAAACCTGTTTTTCAGGTCTCTTATGCTATTAAAAAGAAAGTTTTCACTTTCTATGATCACACAATGAAATCAGAGCAAAAACTGCCACTGTAGTTTATACACTTCAAGTTTGTGCCCTTTCAGTCTCATCTGTCTATACCCATATTATTCATTCTAATCCTTTCATTTATTAATAAATAATACCTTATTAATAAATAACAGGCAGTGCTCAATGCTCAACCAATTGCTTATTCATGCCAAGCAAGTACTCCATCACTGAACTCAACCCCCACTCATACTTTTTAAAAATTCAGCCTTTTAAATTATATTCAACAAGGGATTAAACCAAAAATATATATTACTATTTCTCCATAAGTACAAACTTTTTAAAAAGAAGGCATCTAAATATAGCTTTGTTTCAGTAAACATCAATAGTTAAACATTGTTTTATCAATTCTAATCATCATAGTCTCACTGGGTCACCACTTCCATGTGGCTTTGTAAGTCAGCCATGTCTGAAAGTTGGTAATGTCTTTCCTGGAGCAAGCACACAGGTCTAAGGTTTCTGTAGCTCTTCCAGACTTAAAGCTCTGACAAACACTTTAAAATAGTATACTTACCTCCCAGAATAAGAAAATAGCCTGTTTCCTCTTCCTGCTAATCAAGGGAAGAAATTTGCCTTTCTAACTCTCTATCTCTAAGCCGCCACTTAGCACAGTAGAGAGGTAGCATTTCATATGATATAATCATTTCCCAACATATAAAACCTCTCAGCTATCTTTTCTTGGCCGTATAAAAAGGTTCTTCCCATATAAATAGCATATCTCACACATCAGGAGTTGGTTACCTCTGAAATTGCAATATAAATTAAAGTTCCAATTTAAATATTTTGAAATATTACTAGGTTGAAAATACAGCTCAGTGACTGATAGAGCTCCTTGCCTAGCATGCACAAGGCCTTGGGTTCAGTCGTAGGTATTGAAAAATTTTATCATGGTGTTTTATCAAGGGCTTTAAGTTCACTGAAATTTAAATTCACCAAGGATATCACTGTTTTATTTCCAGGAGCATATGTTTAATAGAGTTTAAGGAGGATTAAAACTAACCTCTCTTTGCTTTCATGGACCTTGTTTACCAACTATAATGTTTCTCATTAATTCTGTTGAATCTGAATAGAAAATATAAGTGGAAATAAATGTATACTGATTATGCAGTACCTTTTATTTAGGAAGAATTTAAGGCCAAAAAGCTACCATCACCTCCAAAGGCAAGCTCTACAGCTGGCTCTTACTCCTCAGAGGCAAGCCTACCCAGGCCTGATGTCAAAGAGAAGACCGTGTGCATACCAAACTACCTGGAGCAGGAAATAAAAGTAAGAATTAGTTTCATTAAACCCATAACAATCACCTGCATAAATTATGATACTAAAGCCACTGTTATCCTTTAATTTTAATTTTTGGAGAAGCCTGAACATAAAAAAAAAACAAATTCAGAATATTAATTCATAAAAACTCATGGGTAGTTCCTCATGAGGAGTGGATTTATTTAAAACTCCTTACCCTAAAATCCAAGACCTGTTCCTATTTTCATTTCAGTCTTACTCTTTCCTGAAATCCTGTCACTTATATAAACACAAACTTTGGCTTAGAAGAGATGTTATGAGAAAGCTGCATTTGCCAGACTTGTCCCTATGCTCCCCTTCCAAGTCTCTTTCTTCATCTTCCTGATACTTGAGAGGTTCTGCCTAACTTCTTTCCACTTCCTGTTTATTCATACACAAACACAGATACTCTTCCAATCAACACTCATCTCTCCTTATCTTTAGAAAACTATCTCCTCCCACATTCTCTACTTGAGGATATAAACTTAGTTATTTAATATTATTATGTCATAGCAGCAGCCACTTAGAAAGTTCTCCTCAACCAGTTATTTCTGAGAATGATAATGAAGATTCAATCAGCAGATACTTGTCATCTGCTATTTTTTCTTCTTTTTTTTTTTTGATAAATACTACCTTGCCTCACCATAAGATCCACTACCCCACTACTGTAAACTAAAGGTGAAACACCATAATGATGACTGTGATAGTATTTTAAGAAACTAGTATCTGTAGTATCATTCACACATAACAAAGCATGTTGTAAGGAGGGTTATTAAATAATTCTGAGAAGGAACTATTTTAAAAGTAAAGTATAACAATGGCTTTAGTTTAATAATTTATGCAGATGACTAAAACTGGAGAAAGAATGAAAGAAAAAATGGAGAAGGTGTAGGCCTTGCAGATGTGACTAATGGTCTGGTGAAAGACTTTGTAGTTCATGAATCCTCACAATCACTGCCTACCTTGCCCACTATCCTCTAAGCATAATAACCTTGAGGTAGTTTGTTCGTTCTTACAAGTTCACCTTACTAAGGATTCTCTGTCCCTCGCTCCTCTGTGTGGCCACCCTATCCAAGTCTCAGTTTAAGTACTTTGCCACCCACCCACTCTACAGTAGTTGCTAGCCGTCCTCTAGGCCACACCTTTTGCTATTCTCTGCAGAGCACAGGTTTTGTATAAATGATCATAGTTACTTATTTGCTTCAGTAGTATCTCTCCGCACAATCCACTCATCACATTTTAGTCCTGTAAGCATCTCATAATTGTCTCACTTGGACACTACTTATCTTCAATGAACACTAAATATCTAATAATTATTATAGATTTGTTGAATGTTGAATAAATAAAAGAAAAACTCTACCATGATCAAGGTAGAATTGTTGAAAACCAGCCTTACATTCAGCAAACCATGACTGAGTATAGTTTTAGTAACCCTTTCTTGCTTCCTTAGACACAGCAATAGACCAGAAGGACCTTTGCAGCCTGGCTTTGGATGTGTCTGTCCAAAAGCTTCCTGCTTTATATAAACTCACTCAGCTGTAAATTCTGAATGCACACACACACACAGAGGGTGACTTTTGAATCTGATTTGTATCTGAGAGGTCTGTTACTAGGGAGTTTCCTCTCCCTGTCAGCAATTGAAAAAGTTCCACTTCACAGCTTAATTAAGAAATGCCTACATCTACTAAAATCTGCACTCATCCTTAAAGGTCACAGACTTGTGTCTCCAGGAAAACGCCAGCAAACAGGAGGGTTTCAGTGATACATTCTGCTAATTTGTGAAACATGTTTAAGACTCAGAAATAAGATTCTACAGAATTTTATTGATGGATTGAGACTGCAAAGTCTTGCAAAAGACAGGATAAAGGTATCAACCTGCATGAAGGTATCAGGGCCAGCACCTTCAGAATCTCTGTTGAACAACAGTGAATATTTCTGATGTCGATGACTCATCCTCTGGAGCTGGAAGCAGATGATTTTTAAGTTCCAGAAACCTCCCTCATAGTTTGCTGAATTTCTGCCAACTATGATGATATGGAGAATTTCATATACAATTTTTTAGTTAACTCTATGGAAAAGAATAACTGGAGTACCTTGAGGACCTAAGATTACTTTGTTTCAAGAAATCATAGAAGAAAAACTTGCTGGATGTGTGGCACATGCCTGTAATCTCAAGACTCAGGAGGCAGAAGCAGGCAAGTTTGAGGCAAACCTACACAGTAAGACCTTATTTCAGAGAAGGAGGGAGGAAAAGAGGGGAGGAGGGAGACTTCCAGGATAGAATTACAGAGAATCTCCAAATTGTGCACATTTCCAATTCTCCACACTTGACCCAGACTTGATCCAGACATCATCCCAGAACGCTGACGCCTGATTTGGCAGCCTAGTAAACTCTGCCCTAGCTCAGAACTAATCTTTGCCTCAAGGGATTGGAAGCTCCTGTGGTCCACTGTGTGCCTGCTTAGGTTCCCAAAACAAAGAGCACGCAGGTTTCCTCCAACCACTTAGCACACCTTTCACTAAAAGGATAATTATGTCCTCTGGGATGTAGGTGATCTAGGAATTAGAGAAAATGAGAAATGATGTACATTCACTATAATGATTTTTAAAACACAATAATATAGACAGGCAGAGTAGGTTAGAAAATAGCTTAAGGCAGTGATGGAAAACCTTTTAGAGACTGAGTGCCCAAACTGTAACCCAAAACCCACTTAGTTATTGCCAAAAGGCAACACTGCAATTCAACCTGAATGTTGAGGTTTTATGGCAAGAAAGGGCTTGTGTGCCTACTGCAGCACATATGCCATAGGTTTGTCACCACCACCCTAAGGACTCTTTTTCTGTTGTTGTTATGGTTGTTGATTTGTTGTACTATTCAGAGCAAATTATGTGCGATCTTCTAGGACCTGGTATTACTGAGGACAGAAACATCACTTATATAATAAAGTTCCATTTACAGTAGCTGATTTTTCAGCCCTTTCACTGTACTTCTGTTATCTCAGAAATCTAGCTCAATGATTGGCATGAATATTCATTGAATTAATAATTTAAGATTTCTGCCAGGCAGGAGGAGAAAGTTCACAGTAACAGTTGAGGCTGCTTTAGAGTGGATCAAGGTAGTAGTGATTTTTAAAAAAACAGATATTTGAGGAATTTTTAGAAGATAGAATTTCCTGAGCTGAGTGGTTGGTAGTTTTTGGTAAAAAAGGGCAAGGGAGTTGCCTGGAATGGATCCTGGTGTCTGGTGTAGAGAATCCACTCTATGCCAGTGCTGTTCACTGTCCTAGGAGATCAGGAGAGCAAGTTTGGAGCAGGTTTTAGGAAGAGAAATACAGGTATAGTTTTAGATATTTTGGGTTCAAATTACATATGAGTGGATACATTTAAAATAAAATGGGTACCCAAGACTGAAGTTTTAAGAGACAGATACAAACTCCAGGTATGTACAGTACCACACTGTACCACACTTCATGCAAGTTCAAGCTGGAATCTACATTAGATGTGATTATTTAATACTCTGTTTTTATGTTATTGTTTATTATAGTCCACTTTTATTAATTAGTTCATATTTCCAGCGCCATCACCTATACTTAAGCTATATTATAGCCATATATATGAATGATTCTGATTGGCTAAAGAGATTTACATTCCTATCTCACTGGATCAACCCTTGACCTATAAAGAACTGAGGTACAATGATGGACGGCTCAGATCATATCACTCATTCACATTAGTCAATCCTGTGACTAGCATAACTGTACTGTGACCATGGTGCAGTGTGAATTGCTCCTCCTCGAATATGTGGAATCGAACAGATGCAACACAAGAAACGTGTAGAGCACTGCCTACACTGTTCCTATATCAGCAGTGCTTTGCTACGGTTACACTGGGTACCACTGAAATCTGGTTCCTAAACTAAAATGCCAGTTTTAGTTTTTTCACTGAGTGTCACTTACAGCATAGATTTTGGGGAGATGAGATTCTTAAGGTGAAGGAAGCCCTGTATCATTTCCATGCTCACATGTAACTTTACTTTTCTCGGTCAGATCCTGGCAAAGCTCTGTGACATTTTACACACTGATTCTCTGGCAGAAGTTCTACAGTGGCTGCTTCATGCAAGTACAAAAGGTGAGATTAAGATAAACATCTGTAGGTATTCAACTCAGATTGTCAGAAATTGGGATTCTGCCAAAATCCCTGGATTAGAAAGATGATGTTGCACAGTTATTTCCTTACTGTTTCTGCATCGCAATCATATAGTCCTATATATCCAGCCATATGCATAGTGATCTTTGCATGAATCCAATACAGTATGCTTCCAACTGAATTCACTGGAGTGATACAAACTACTGGAGTGATACAAACTACTAGTGTCCAGAAGAGGCCTTATTCTGAGTTTGAGCTGGTTTGTGCTTCTCCTCCTGACTCCACACGGTCAGGCTCCCCCTGAGTATATCCTCTGGTCTTCTTGAACCCTGAACACAAGAGCCTCTTCCTCTCCTTGGATGGCAGTAAAACAGCCTTTCATGTTCCAGACTTTAAACTCTGCCAAGTCCCACCAAAACCATCAACTCAATCATCAGTCCACCTCCTTTGGGCACCTCCAACCTACTCCATGAATACACTCACCATTCCCAAGCAGGACAACGACAAGTAGCGTACATACAGTCAAACCCATCTGGTCATCATACACTGCACTTCTAATACAGCACCCAGTGATGCTGGGAATGCTGGTCTGGGACAGAACCAGTATGCAATATTTTAAATTGGGGACCCTTTTAGAAATAACACCTTACCCCAGGAACTCAAGATTACTTTGCAAGCAATTGATAAGTACTGTACTTGGGGGCAATGGATCTTTACTCTTTAGTTAATATTTTCTTTTTAAAGAACAATAAATTATACAGGTAGTGAATGCTTATTACTGAGAGCAAATAATAAATGAACCAAAAAAAGCCCACAATAATCAATAAAATTACCATGAACATCATTCCAGTGAATGTGTTAATATATATCTTCTAGATATGCTTGTAACTATTTTTATCTGTCTTTATGTTAATGGGGTCATATCATACTTCTTTTTGTGCAGCTACCTTTATGCTGAAAAGGAATCCTTACATCTGTAGCAGCTTGTAGGGCTACAGCTGTAAAGTGGTTCTACTGCTCTTCAGGGTTGAGCATCTCTGTGATTAATCTGCACAGGGACCTATAGCATCATGACACTAGAAACCAATTTTTGCCCAGAAATGTGTTCTGACCTATAGGCATCTCCTAGAGAGAGAATACACTGCCAGCCTTTTATATTGGGGCCTTCTGAATAACAGAACTAATCCTGTGTTGGCAGCCAATGTGAAAAGGACAACTACTCTCCCCAATCTTTCTTTTAATCAGAGAAACAGTGGGTCTCAGCCCTGGTTCACTCGGAGTTGGCTGAGATAAACTTCCTAACTTGCCGCAGAAGGAACCAGGCAGGGGAATCTACAGCAGCGCCTGGGAAGCCACCCATGGCTAAATCGCCTCCTGTTGGCAAGTCGCCTACAAACTCACCTGCAGAATCAAAAGTGCTGGCAGCAGTGAGGGAATCAGCCAGGTAATTACATGGCTATGGAGAACCTACAGTGCATGATCATCCAAAATACTAAACATGCTGAGAGTTAAGTCTTAATTCAGTAAATGCTTGCAATGTGTTCTTTCATTTTTTCGTAAATATAATATGAAAACTGTTCTCATTTATGCTGTTCAGAACATTTTAGCAGGGGCTATGTCTTTCTTGTCCAATAACTTTTCTTTGCAGGAAAAGCCCCTTGCCACTAAGGACAAAGCAAAAACAGCCACCTATAAATCTTAGAAAATAGGGATTTTTAAAAACTAAAAATAGAAGATACAAAGAAACTGAAACTGTGGTGTTAGAATTGTGAATATTTTGTATATTATATTAAATGTATATTACACAGATATAACCTTTTTGGTAGAACAATGAAGATCAAACCAAATTTTTTTCACTTAAATTTCTCTGGCATAGTTCTGAGGTTTCAGGGGTGGGGAGAATAACTGCTAAGGGAATTGGAAATCAGTTCAGGAGAAATTTTTATTTAATTCATGTAATTTCAGTAATGAGGAAACATTACTGAAGACTGCTAGGAAAGAAAATCTTGCTTTAACAGTTGGGTAAAACTTAGACAAAATTAATATTTAAAAAAATATAACATCCCTTTAAAAAGTATTATGACAGATAATTTTATTTGGTTGTCTCTACTATAATATTTCCATAAAATCAGAAATAGGAGATAAGAAAGGTCAGCCTCGTTTCTTAATGATCAGCATATGATTAATCAAAGTAAGAAGAATCTTTCATTAGGAAGTAAATTAAGTTTGGTATGCATGTTAGAAACAAGGAATTAGGATAACATATTTAAGATAAATGTACACAGAATTTCTGGATACTGTATTTTAATTTGTGTCTGAAATTCATTTTTTTTTCTTTCTCCAACTGATTTAGACTGCCAAGTCAAGGATCAGAAGGAAATAAGGAATCACCAAAAGGTTAAGTACAGTTTGTGATAATTACTGAGCCAGTATAAGGAAACCAGTAAGTGCTAACCACTTCGTGGCATAGACATTAAGAATCTGTGCTTTTAGAAAAAAAAAAAACAATAAAACACAAAAAGTGATTTCTCATTCAACTCTTAAGGGACAATACTTGCTGGATTTAGTAGCATAGACATAAATTCATCTTCCTTTTTAAAGGCAAATGTCTCTTGTGGGACAGACACTCTGAGAAGCAAGACAGCAGGACAGCAGGACGACAGGTGCAGTCAAGCCAATTCTATGAAAGAGAGCCCTGCACTGGCCTAAAAACAGACAATGATCCCAGAGTTCTGGTTAACTGTCATGGAGTTAAACAAGTCACTGGAAACAAAGTCGGCCAGAGAAAATAATAAAATACACCACAGAGGTTCCCTAAGGGGTAGTTGAACTGTAGTAGGGAGGAGCAGTTTCATTGCCTCGCCAAAGGCTGTGTACCAGCTGACAATCTGGGCCAGAAAGCATTTAGTAATGTGGAAAGTCCTACACTGACCCAGGTTAGCCTAAGGAAGTGGCCCTGTTGGTTCACAAGCGTCTAGATTTAAAACAAGCTCACAATAATGATGGAGAACAGCCTCCCAGCGAACTTCATCTTCTTGTTTCTCCAAATTCTCCTTATACCACGAATGATACGGTAATCACTCTGGGCCCCAACTGTTTCCACTGGAGTTAACCAGACCCCAAAATCACTCTAGATATTGACCAGCACTACTACACATAGTTTATAGAAATGAGAGCACCCACCAACCTTGCCAGGACTCCGAGGATAGTCTGTTGGTCTGGTTTCTCCCAAAACTCCTCACCCTAGGAGTATGAGTCAACTTGCCTCATCTGTGGCCTCAAACATATTTTACCCTCCCTAGATGCCTAGAAGATTTTTGTGTGAGAATCCTCCAAATCACGCCTTATTTTCTCAATTAATACCATATTCAGCATCTTCCCAAATCCCCATTCCTGTTTGGGGCAACTAATTTTTGACTTTGGAAGGGTCTTATGAGTATAATTAATTAGCTTTACCTTTCTTCTTTGTTCTTCATTTCTGTCTCTCAGGACTACTGATTTTCTCCTTTTCCCCCTGGCCCCATCCACCTTACTCTTTGCCACAAATCATTTTTATCTATCCCATTTGTTTCCAAGAGTGAAACACTGTATTCTGAATGATTTACAATAAGTAGTTCACTAAAGATGAGCAGTGGTAAGAAATTAAGATGAGAACACATTCTTTAATGAATTTGGGATGTTTCTGATTTACCTAAACTTCATATACTTTTAAAATATCATTTGCTACAAAACAAGGCAGAAGCTGTGCCCAGTGTTTCAATTATGGTCTCACTTAGATTTCTTTCTGTTTCAGGGGCTGAGCACAAGCCCCCACTGTTTATAAGAAGCAACAAGGTGAAAATACCTGTCACAGAGTACTTCAGCAAACCAAAGTCTTCTCTCAGGCTTGACACTTGGGACTGCAGACCAGCGAAGCCAATGTCTGCAAGGAGTACACAGCAAGGACTGAATCTCTGTTCTCGAAGAATGTCTTACCCTTTAACCCATTAAAGGTAGAAACTGCAGGCGGTGGAACTCTGCAACACACATGAGCTGCACATTGTTGCAACATCAAGTCATTTTTTAAAAAAGATTTGAGTGATCCTCAAATGTGGTGACACATACAAATCTCAAAACACCCGCATATAATCTAAAAATAAATTAATGGAGATAATATTTGTATTTGTAGTTAATATTACTACATGTAAAAAGAGAATGTTTACTTAAACATTTTCCAGTCTTACAATACTAGTATTAATATAGGGGCCTTGATATCAGAAATAAATCAGCCATAATCAGAATAAAGCACAAGGAATGGAGGGAGAGAGGCAGGGAAAACAGCGTGGGAAGTTTAACTTTTGAGCTGACTTGCAATTGGTAGTGCATAAGTGTCATTGGACTACTATGAAAAAGTGCTTTTCTCTCCAAAAAAAGAGAAGTTAAAAAACATCCCTACTTCATGATCTAGAAAGGAGCTGGTTCCACCCAATGCTGTAATGGTCACTATTAATAGCTTTGCTAATATTGAATTCTTTCCTGTTTTTAAAATTAACTCCTCTTGAGCCATAGCTGCTTCTGTTACATGGAGCTGGATTCTATCAAACAATGGGTATTTAGAATGTACTGTTACTCAAAAGAAACAGAACAAATTCATGCGTTTGTACATATATTTGTCCATCTATGTGCACGTAATCTTAGTAACATTTTTAAATTTATTATGTGACAAGAATCATTACAAACATTTTAGAGTAACATTTCCAAAATAACTACTTGTAATAACTACTACCATTCTTCTCATTTTTTTTTTTTTTTGGTCTTTTTCCTTTTTATCAGTACCGGGGATCGAACTCACGACCGCCTGCTTACAAGGCAGGTGCTTATGCCGCTGAGCTAAATCCCTAGCCCCTCATTCTTCTCATTTTAAGAATAAGAAAAAAGATGCAAAGCTGTACTCATTGTGATGGGGCAAGTGGCAGGAAATGCTATTGGTGTCTATTTCTCACAGAAGAGTGCAAGCCTATGCTCTTCACTGTTGACTGATGAGAGGCCAGGAGCCTTCCATCCTCTGGCTTAACCAACACCTAGGGCTTGTCCTTGTATCCAGCTGGCAAAAGGGGAAACTGAGCAGAGGAAAGTATTAGTTCCTATTTGTTACTGCAAGTAATTACCACAAACTTGGGGCTTATTGCAACGCATTCATCTTCTTCCAATTCTGGAAGGTATGAAATGGGCTACAGTGAGCTAGTGTGAGGGTGCAGTGAGGCAGCACCCCTCTTTCAGGCTGTAGAGGCAAACCTGTTTCTTCACCTTTCCATCCCCTAAAGGTGACCCACACTCCTTAGTTTGTGGCTTTCTTCTGTCTCCAGTAGCATCAAAGGCCAGTAGAGTTGTTGGTAAACTCTCGTGATGACTGTTATGCCTCTTCCCACTTGAAGGATGCTGGTGATTGCACTGGGCTAGTCCACTGGGATCCACAGTGATCCAAGATCTTCTTCTCAGCTGATTAGCAATTCACTTCTATTTGCAACCTTAAATTCCACCTTTCCATGTTGTGAACATGCACACCAGTCCCCAGGGTTTGGATCTCTGGGGATCATTATTGTGCTCTCCATAAGGAGGGTACCTCTGATTAAAGTCAGCCTCAAAATGGTAAACATCACTCCTAGTTACATTCCACAGCTCAGAGCTGTTCTAGCTGCAAGGGAAGCCAATAAACTCTGCATAGGAACCGCATTTCACCTACATACTATGGAAAGAAAAACTGGATTTGGACAGACAGCTAAAAGCATTAGCAACTGGCCCAAAGTGCAGCTGGCACTAGATGATGCTAACAGATGAAAGGCTATGTTCAAATTCATACAGTTAATACAAAAGCACTATTTTCTGCTGGGTTATGGAGAGGTTGTAACTGCAGTACAGATATTTTCCCTTGAAATTTTATGAAGTCACCCTCGTCCATGAAGGTTTTGTGTTGTGCAGTAATAGCCCTTTGACAATACTATTTCCATCGTGCTAGTATCAGCTTATATTTTCTGTATTTTGGAGGTCTATATTTTCCTAAAAAACCATCCATTTCATCCAAATTTCCAAATTTATTTTCATAGAATTGAGACAAATTTCTCTCATAATTCTAATTTTTGTTTATTCTGAAATCTCATTTAATGTATTTTAAAATTTTTCTTGTTTCAATTAGCTCTGTACATTTTATCATCATTTTCAAAAACCCACCTTGTATTTAATCATATGTTCAATTTTTCTATTTTTATTTCATAATTTTATTTCTTTTACTTTAGGTGCCTTACTCTGTTGTTGATATTTTAAATTTGTTTTCATTTTCCTTTATTGACATCTTTAAGGTGATGACCCTTATCACAGTTTTAGTTAAATCTATAGGTCTGTTTTTTCATTTTTATTTCAATTTCCAAAATAGTCTATAATTTTTTATTTGACTTCATCCAAGAATTGCTTTAGAAAAGATTTAAAAGTTATCGGTGGCCAGGACTTTATCATATCCCACATCTATTTCTAGTTTTACAAATTATTAACAGAGAAGTTCTTGACACAGTTTCTACTTTTGGAACTTTATTTTCCTTTGTACTGATACTCTAATATGGTTACTTTTAGGAACGTCCCCTAGACAATGAAAAGCAACACACATTTGGTTTTGAACCTACAGAAAATGTGATATATTATCAATTATATCTATTATTAATTTTAGCATTTGTGTTTTCCAGATATTTATCCTTTGTCTATATGAGTTATCACAGGCCAGGAAATATGAATTAATTTCTTTGTACCAATCTGTTTACTATTTCATCTAATTATCAAAGTTTTTCTCAATGAATTTCAATAGTATGCTCCCTGGTGCATACATATTCATAACTGCAGATCTTTATGAAGGGTTATACTCTTGACTGTAATGACATCCCTTCTTTCTCTGATTTATTAGTAAAGTGCTAAAACTTACCCAATGTTACAACTATGATTTCTGTCTATCTTTTGTTAGCCTAGGATGCCTTTTTCCTATTTTTTTTTACAGTGAAGCTTTTTATTTAGATCTGGATATTTTACAACCAAATCCACAAGACAAACCATCCAGTTAACAACAGTAGCAAATAGGTTATACCTTCATATACCTTTAATATTTTATTTTATGGAAAAAACTAAAATAAAATTCCATAACAAAATAATAGGAGAATAACAATAGTTAATGCATAAAGTATTTTTATCTTTAAAGTAATTACTCAGAGTACAAGATAGGGGCATAAAAAATTCTCCAAATGATATTAGCACTAAGAAAAACTAGCAGTACAAACTACCTTTTATTTTTTCCTTTTCCGTTTTGAACAATTTTTTTTCTATTCACAGTATCTATTACACACTTTGGACCTTATCCTTTCAGTTACACTGAGGAGACAATATGATATTTACGTGACTCTGATTTATTTAACTTATGAGTATGGTCTCCAGTTGCATCCATTTACCTAAAAAAAGTCTCAAGTTGGCCTAGCAACTCCAAATAGCCAGGGAGCCTCTGTGCACTGAGCCGTGCTTGCTGAAGGCCTGTACAGCAAACTTCACCTAACCATGCAGCTTTGGTACCTCACTTGGAACCTGGTAGGGCACCCTGCCCAGTGACTCCCAACAGCCAGAGAGCTTATGTCATTTGGGTCCTAGCTGGGTCCTGCGCAGTGACTCCAAATAGCCCAGAGCCTCTGTGTAACGAGTCGCATTAGCTGAAAGCCTGCTCAGCGAATTTCACCTAGCCAAGCAGCCTTGGTATGCCACCCAGCACCTGGTAGGGCCCTGCCCAGCAGCCTCAAGCAGCAAAGGAGCTTTGATGTGCCACATGGGATGTGCTGAAGGTACGCCCAGCGTTCTCCCCCCATTCGGGGAGCTGCTCAGTGTGCTAGGGACCTGGTAAGGCCTGCCTAACGACCCCACCTCCCTGAAGTGAGGAAAGGTATCCTTAACCCAAGAAACAACTGTGACTTTGCATTCAGCTGCCCAAGGAGAATACAGGAAAATGACAAAACAGATGAGCAAAATGCAATCACAAACCTCCAGTCTACCCAAAACAAGCTTAGGAGACATGGACATAGAAGAAAGTGTAAGCCATGCACCTGAAACTTCTGCAATGATAGCAACTGAAATAAAGAAACAATTCCATGAAGCTGTAAAGGAATTCAGATTAGAAACAATCTCCTAAATAAAACAAGAAATTATAAATGTAATGAAAAAAATGCTGGACACATCTAAAAAAGACATTGTTAAAAAAAATATAGGAGCACTGCAAAATGATGTAAACCTTGAATGAACAATATAAGACAGAATTACAATCCATGAGGCAGATTCAAAGAGATATTCAGGAAATCAAATATTCCATCAAAAGCTGGGAAAAACTCCTGAATGAATGTGAAGATACACTTTCAGACCTCAAAGATAAGATTGCAGCTAGTGAACAGGAAAGGAAAAATAACAGGGAGTCAGGATATAACAATTCAACAGTTGACAGATGTGCAAGAAAAACAATATAAGATTGATAGGTGTAATGAAAAAAAGTGACAACACAAATGACATAAAAGACTATTTACAGAATCAATAGCAGAAAATACAGGAAAGGAAACTGACATACAGATAAGTGAAGCATACAGAACTCCAATTAGCCATAACCAAAATAAATCTACACCCAAACATGCATTAAGCGACATCTCATAAATTCAACATAAGAATACAATATTGAAAGCTGTTAGAAAAAACAAACCAATCATATAAAAGAAAGCCCATCAGAATCTCAGCATGTTTCTCAATACAATCAAGTCAAGAAGAGCATGGAGTGAAGTACTTCAAATCCTAAAAGAAAACGACTTCTATGAACCCTCCAAAACTATCCCTCAAAATCGATGGAGAAATAAGATACTTCCATGACAAAGAACAGCTGAAGAACTTCATGACCACCAAACCAACCCTGCAAAAAATACTGAAACATATTCTAGATAAGCATAAAAATAATTATGACTTTAAGAACAACAGGAAAAAAACACTAAGCAGGGAAAACAAACAAAAGGGAAAGGTAAACAACCAACAGCAAAAAGATGACACTACAAAAACAAGCCAATACATATATCACTTATGACCATTAATGTAAATGGCTTC